AATTTAAACGGGGCGCAACGATTGAAACAGGGGGGAGTTTTCCCAAACGGGGCGTGCGCGCCCCGTTTGCGCAACGTAGGGAGAACCCTGCCTCCAATATCACGCTGGTGATGAGCTTCCTCCCCATCACACTATGCATCGAATATTAAGAGCGTTGGTCGAGCGGTTGAGATTTGTGCCGCAATTCCGTATTTCCTCTTATACCTTAAGCTAAGGAGGAAATATTCCCTCCATTGACACACCTTGACCTTTGACCCTTGACCACCAAATTCGACATCCCGAGTTATTTTCGCAATCTCCCAGACGTCCTGAATATCAAGACCGTACGTGGAGCGGTTAATATTTGTGCCCAACTGTTGACAGATGCACGGACGGACGCACGAATGCACGGACAATCATGCGATTAGACAAGCTGCATCTGACTTCGTCAGCTGAGCTAAAAAGTTCGACACTTGGCTTGTGAACACATATTCATGCAAAGGTCTGAAATGTATTTGAATACAAACTATATTGAATATCTGAATATAACCTTGCAAAAAATTTAAAAGTGCCATTATTCTCAACACATGATGATGACGATTGCGACTGATCACATTATACAAAAATCACATAACAAACGTTCATAAATCGAGAGGTACCTGTACTCCAAAAATTTCCACTATATGAGAAAAGCATAAGGTGCAATTGTTCATTTACATAAAACAGATGGTAAAAATGTGTCTGGTAAAAAAAAGCACCTTGACCTTTGACCCCCAAATTCGACATCCCGAGTCCTTTTCGCGATCCTCCCAACGTCCCGAATATCAAGACCGTACGTTGAGCAGTTAAGATTTGTGCCCAACTGTTGACGGACGCACGGACGCATGCACGCACGCACGGACAATCATGCGATTAGACAAGCTGCATCTGACTTCATCAGCTGAGCTAAAAAGTTCAACACTCGGCTCGTGAACACATATTCATGCAAAGGTCTGAAATGTATTTGAATACAAACTATATTGAATATCTGAATATAACCTTGCAAAAAATTTAAAAGTGCTATTATTCTCAACACATGATGATGACGATTTCGACTGATCACATTATACAAAAATCCCATAACAAACGTTCATAAATCGAGAGGTACCTGTACTCCAAAAATTTTCACTATATGAGAAAAGCATGAAGTGCAACTGTTCATTTACATAAAACAGATGGTAAAAATAAGAAGTCTGATAAAATGAAAGTGTCAATGAAACTGTAGCTCACCACAAAAAAAGGACACAAATGAGTGAGTAAGAAGAAGTCAGTTTTAATTGAGCAACCATCGACGTACATTATAGAAACGATTGCCATCTGAATATCGCAATAATAATTTATAAACCAAAATGAATCACAATTTGTGACCGTAGATGGCGCTATACCCGCTTTGTAGCGATGGCATTTGAAATAAATAGGTTATGCTGCGTTCCGACATGTTTTGTAAATCTTTACTCTAATATAGACGTTTTATCGGCAGGGTGGAGAGGAAATACCAATTTTGCATTAAAGATATTGTCAATGAAATCTTGTAAAACGAACCAGACGAGTGTGAAACCACAGACTCTGTGTTTATATAATATGCTATATAATTGCCAAACCCTACCTAATTTGCATAATTTTTTTTTAAATATCAAAACCCCTAGCCCTTATTCATTCACATACAAAAAATGAGCAAAATCCGGCAAATTATTTGGAGGGCCGTTAACATTGGCAAAACACTGGCCCTCCGAGCCGGTGGTATCAGGCGTGTTAACGAGCACCAACATTTTTATTTATAGCATTAACACGTTCTACGCTGCCGGTGTTAACAATGCACTTACCGACCTGCGCTGGGATTTTCGAGTTTTTACCGCGTATTAACTTTTAGATTTACCACATTTCCTTTGTAGGAAAGCTAACCAAACTGACCCATTTACTCTGCATGAGTGTTATCTCACCCTTACACGTTCAAATAGTATGAAAATCGTTCCCCTTCATAATAATATATTGATATGAAAACAGAAAAAAAACGGACATTTCGTGCATTTTCGTCTCAAATGCCACCGCACCGGTGAATTTTCGCGACTTTGTTATGATATCATTCGACAGTATACTATTTTTTCCGGTAAAAAATGTGACAACGCTTACACATGTGTGGGGTATGAACCTTGTTTTGTTTTTCTACATTCAAAAATACCTCAAAATTTTATATACTACACAGTTATTATATTATATACCGTTAGGAAAACGATAATCAAACCTTGGTTCGATCTACGCCTTCTAGTTTACCTTCTAGTTTTACAAATTTACCTTGAGTCTCAAAACTCATGATTTCACGTTCGAATCAACGGTAGAGCATTGTATTCTTTAATTCATGTATGACTGGGGTAATATAGACTGTTCCTGTTTAATATCTAGGTAGGTAGTGCCTGCCATCTGTTGGAAATCAGAGTAACAAAAACCAATAATCTATCCACGAGCTGACTCGTGGATCTGCGGGGATGCGTTTTGATTGTTCTCATGAGCCGACTCGTGGATCCGCGGGGAACAGGTTAATGAGCAAATAGCCTACATTAGTGTTTTAGGCCTAAAAAAACGCTTGTTTCCGCTAACCTGACCGAGTACTTTTTAAACCGCCGTGTCAAAACTTTTTATTGTGATCAACAATTAATTATTTTTTTGTTTTTGTTTTTTTCAATGCATTGATCTTTGAAGTCATTATATGGGCTGTTATAAGTATAAAACAAGTATTGTTAAAATACAAAAAAAAAATAATTGATAAAAAAAGTTTTGCCTGCCTACTGTGTCAGCTCGTTAGCGGAAACAAATGCCTTTTTTAAAGCCTTACCTGTAGGATATCATGCTATAATTTATCAACATTTTTACAAATTTGAAATCAAGAATGCAAGCGTGAAACATGACATTGATTTTACAAACAAAATTTGTGAGGGCTGGTAAATTATGGTGAGGGCTAGTTAAAAAAAGCTGTTACCGCCCTCTGGGCTGGTACAAAAAAATCTCAATATTGTGCACTGAAGAGTCAACAAAATTATAACTGCTATGTTTAGCTTTGCTGACCCTGGTCACGTGAGCTTGTGGTATGACAAGAATCATCTGGCTGTCCTTCCCTCCATCACGAATTAGTGGCATAAAATACGTATAAACAAATTCACCTATGGCACGCTTGGGCCACAGGTAAAGGGGCAGTAAAATGATAGCGTGAGGCTGAATAAATGAGATCAAAGAGCGAAAGGGAATGAGATTGACACAGAATCCCACCATCAATCTCAACCGCTAAATCGTAACCTAAAATATATATGTTCACGTATCCGGTATTGATTATTAGTTAATACAATGTCAATGGTCCTAAACAACGGAGTTGTGACGAGTCCCAAATTTCATTTGAACTGTACGCATCTTAGGGCCAAAGGATATAAGAGCTGCCCACATTTGCACATGTCGCACATTGTAAAAATAAATTGTGGTCAGCGCTTATATTCATGAGCCCAACTTAGTTACTGTGCATAAGATATTAATTTTTCAAACGTACCGTACCTCAAAAAAAGGTAGGATTTAGGTTCAGAAGGATGGCGTTGGCGTTGGACATTTGACAGGTATATTGTTAGGATTATGCTTAGAGTTAGGATTATACCAGTCTATACCAGTTGTGATTTCTGTCAAAAAGAGGTGTAACTGTACGAAATGTCTCCGAAAACACATGTATAACTAGGCCTATAAGCCCCTACGTGTTAATTGCACTAACTAATGATTGGCACAGTATTATGAGTATACCCGTAAATTTACAAAGCTCGAGTTACTACGGCCTTCGCAACAGACCTTACTGTCGTTGTACCTAGTAATAGTCTTCGTTACAGTTCCTGAGACTCTGAAGAATATCCAGGCTTTATGGGATTAATAACTCGAACTAAACTTAGCATAGCGTGAAACTGACAATTCTAGCCTCGTTTCGACGGGATAGTATGTCGTACTCGACTCGTTGTCACCATCAATAGAAAAATGCTCGCGCCGCTAAGAGCGCTATTAATTTAGTAGCGTTTCACGAAAGTACCATAACTATAATAACATCACGTTGTATGAAACATAATGATTGTTATTATGATCATAGAAAGGAGATTTTGCCATCTTGTATCTGTGTTCGGTCCGTATAACGACCGAAACGCACCGAGACGCACCGAGCAAGGCTTTTATCTGAAAGCACCGAAAGGCACCAGCAATTTGTGAGGAATGGCGATTTTCGAAGGCTGTTAGATTAAAACCCAGCCAGAGCAGTAAATTTACTCAGTGTGCAAAAACCTGACTGCTAGCATTGGGGACTGTGAATCAACCCCTTGTGGCTTAGATGACCACGTAAAATGGCAGGCCGTCTCGAGTAATTGGGTCATAAATAACCAAAGAACCATAATGATTGGGGACACAAAACATTCTAACAGTGATAAACTTCGGTGTCATTTGGCTTGACGTACGTAATACACTAGGGCCCCTTCCAGAATCTTCAGTATGATAAAGGCGGTCAGAAACAGCAATGAACTATTAGCAGAAAGGATAATGCAAACATATATGCATATCAGAAGTTAATAATGACAAATTATTTGTCATTATTA